CTTGATCTAGGCGCGGTTGAGATCCCTCAGATCTCACCCCGCTAATCCATTCTTGTTCCCCAGGTCGTCCTTGCTGATTTGCTTTAGTCCTCTGGCTTTCAGGCTTTGGGAGCCTTTGCCAATACCATTTTTTTGCTCCTCCCGGACTTGGGAGTGTTCGCTGGCGGCGACAATTACTGTGTGTTCAATGCGCTATCGCCATAGGCTCATCCGCGAACAGAAAAGGTTAGTTGATGCCTGGTTTGGACTTAAGGGACTTGGCTGGTAGTTTAATTTCTGAAGCAAGATCTTTTTTTCTTATTTTTTAAGGAGTGGATTGAAAAGTTACAGAACAGTATCACTAACGGCTAGTTGGAGTGTCTATTCTGTAAGCTTTCAAAGGAATTGTGTCATGTTGGTTACTCTGTCAGCAGCGGCTAAGATTAACAGATTACGATGCTTTACAGCAGGTTTCTTTAGTCATGTTTACTGCGCTACCCGATGTAAGTTCTGGGTCATGTGAATCAGTTAAATTGGTTTATGTGAGGAAGACGGGTAATTTATTGTTTTTTAACAATTACTGGCGACTGAATAAAGTGTTGACGCTAACCTCTCCCACGATTTGCAGTAAGTCTGACTTGGTAGAAGCATCAGCAACTAAAGAAATTTACTTTCACTTCCACAGAAACGGAATATTAGAAAGTTTGTTTACCTTCACGTGGTAGAAATCCACTTTTCCAGGTCTGTTTTTGGTTCTCTATTGAGCCAGCTACATCCACCAAAGCTTCTAAAAATTATGATTTACCAACTGAACAACGTGCGCAAAAAAAGTGAAATAGCTATCAATTTAGCCCATAACTTATTGAGCGTAGGCGGTGAAACTGTCGATCTTGAGTTTTGAAGCGTATGTCATTTATCACACTTTCACATCAGGATGACAGCTTGTGTTGCAGAGTTTCGTAAAATTAACTTCTTTGGCATATTCAGCATTGGACCCAATAGAAATCTTTCATTTAACGTTATTTTTTGTTTGTTTTGTTTAATTGAAGGAGAAGGCGAGAGTACTGTTTACATTAGATGGGCAACTTCAAGCCTAAACAGTACTTTTTTTCTAATTTGCCAGAGGTTTTGGCGGTCAGAGGTATAACTTGTTTTTAAACCACTTCTATCTCTAATGCGTCTGCTTATACGGCTGTCGTGACTGCAGACAAAATCCAAAAATTTGAAGAGTCGCCCTTGTCAGCTTTTCTCCTACAGTGTTCTATGGGACCTTTGTACTACTCTCTCTACTGTAAGCTCAACCAGTCCTTGAACC